CACACACACACACACACACACACACACACACACACACACACACACACCGCGCTGGACGATGTCCAGGCCCCGGGGTGCTGCTGGCCTTAAACCTGCAGGGAGAAGGGGGCTGGGGGACCGCGGGACACCTAACCTGAGGCTGCCCCTGGCTCCAGGTGACAGTGTGCTCCCGAGGAAAGCAAGTTAACTCTATGGAAATTTTGAGTAGACTGCGGCAGCCGCTTCCTTGGCCCTTTCTTTATTCCTCCCCGTCTCGTGCCTTCAAGTCTCCACCTAGCCTTTGCGGCACTGAGACTAAAATGTTCGTTTTTACCGCTTTTCATCTTTGGCTTTGTTTTCCTCCCACTCGGTGCGATCCTCGCGCTGACTTCCAGGTACAAGCCTGTGTTGTGTGGGAACTTAAGGGGCCTTCCTACGAGCCATGCCACCACCCTTGTCCTGTTGCTTTCTGTGTCAGGATCTTGTTTGGGGAGGTCAGGACCTGTATTGCTATTCAAAGGAAACTTAGCTTTTGTTCCTTACACGAAATTGCCTTTAAAACGGAGTTTCCGCAGTGATAAGATTTCCTAGTTGGAGAATTGTTTGTCATGCTAGCACTAGGACCTGAATTTGGATCCCCAGTATTGACGTAAAAAAAAAAAAAAAAAAAAGCCAAGGGACTCCCCTGGAACTTGCTGGTCAATAATAACTTAGCTTCAAGTTCAGGGAAAGGATCCTGTCTCAAAAAATAACGAGAAGAGATTGAAAGAACATCTGGACATCTGGCCTTCCACATGTAAGTACACAGAGAGAGAGAGAGACAGAGACAGAGAAAGAAACAGAGGCCAAGAGATACGCAGAGAGAGCAGCGTTTACTGGTGGCATGCTAAAACACTTTGTTCTCCTAAGTGGCAAAGCACTTCCTTGTCCATTTACTCAGCATCCACTAACCCAAGTAGCCTTTGCTCTCATATCTGGACACTGAAGGCAGGTTCCTACACTAGGAAGCAGTGAGGCCAGGCTTGCCTGTGCCGTGCCAATACTAGCATGCATTCTCTCTGGGCAGGCCAGAATTATTTTCCTGTACAAGTGCTTCATGTCCAGTTTGCCGAAAACACACAGAAGATGCAGAAATCCTCACAGTTCTGTCAACTTATAAATAAACGTAACAAACTCAAATACAGAATAGAAGAGGAAAAGCACTGACCCGAATTTCCCCCTAATCCCAACCAAGGTTTTAGTTATACTTACTTCAACACAGAGGGGATCTCGACCCTCAACTTTTTCAGCACTACTAGCTCAGTGCGATAACACCTACACGGTATCATGACCATGGCTATTGCAAGGGAGGGCTCAGCACACACTGAGACACCGCGGAAGAGTGAGGTACGGTCCGTCCTGGCAGCTACCCTCCAGCATCTCAGAAGAATGACATCGTACAGCATGAATACAGCGCCCAGGATGAGTGATGTGGAAATGGACCCTTTTCACACCTTAACAGCATTTACTGGATTTCCACGGTGACCCACCCATCCACTTCAAGCATAAGGTGAAGTCAGGCCGGCTTCCTGCTCCTAGGATCACACAGTAGCAAGAGACAGACATAGCAACCACATCTCAGGTAAAGCAGTAATAGGACAACAATACAACTATGGATACAGCGATTCCTCCTCCCCTTACCTCCTTCCTTGTCTTCTTGGAAGAAGGTGACATTCAGAGCCATCTCTGTAAGGATGGAGGAGTCTACCAGGAAGAGACAAGAAAGTGGATGCACAGAAATGCAGCCACAGGGTGAGAAATGGTAGGGTCCACTGTGAGTACAGAGTCAGAGACAAGCCAAGAACAGTCCTGGATTTGGTTATGGTGAACCTTGCATCTCAAGAGATGAATGTTTATTTCATAGGCAGTGGGAAGGCAGCCAGGGCTATAAACAGAATTGGATCTCTTACACATCATATGGGAGGTCCTACAGGAGGTATTGTACGGTGAGTGTTAAAGCAGATCTGTCAGAGGCATTTTATATTCAGTGGGAAAAAAAAAAAAAAACGGTATCCAGTCATCAAAGCTATATGGTATTTATTATTTGGTTCCTACTGTGATCAGGACTTGAAGTAATATGTAATGCTAAACTTCACTCCGTTTGTAAGGAGCATACAGTCTACTTAGGAGAAAACTATGTTAAAAGCAAAATAATGCAAGATAAAATATTAGGTATCAAGTGGGTATGGGTATCACAGTGAGTTGGCCTAATGCCAGTTAAAATAAGAGACATTGCCAAGCACACAGCCCCCTCCAAATATTTCAGAAGGGGTAAAAAAGGCTTCAACGACATTGCCAAGCACACAGCCCCCTCCAAATATTTCAGAAGGGGTAAAAAAGGCTTCAACTAATAGCATTAGACATTTCTCACACCAGCCAGGCGGTTGTGGCGCACTCCTCGGAAGAAGAGGCAGATGGATCTCTGAGTTGGAGGCCAGCCTGGTTTACACAGTGAGTTCCAGGACAGGCAGGGCTACACAGAGAAATTCAGTTTCAAAAAAAAAAAAAAAAAGACTCACACTACCGTTATGGTTAAACGAATGAATTGGTTCTCTTTCTTAAAAGACAGATTGGGGGTTGCAGTGATTGTTAAGAAGGTGGACCTGAGTTCAGTTCCCTGCAACCGTTTGGTGGCTCATAATTGTAACTCCAGTCACAGGGAATCGAACACCCTCTTCTGACCTCCACTAGCACCACACATGCAGGTGGTGCGCATACATATCTGCAGGCAAAATATTCATAATAGCAAACCTTTAAAAAGGAAGAAAACAAAACCAGCAACAAGAAAACAAACGGGCAATGAACAGCTGGGTGTCCTGTCAGTAATGCATCAGCAATGAGGAGTCCAAGGAAAGCAGATCTTCAGAAAAATCAGTTACAAAGTACCTATGTGAAGACAGGTTTAGGGAAAGCAAGGTGGGGCTTCTTCTCATCTTAGAGCCTGAAATGTCAGGCAGCTCTGGAAGACAGTTAAAGTGTCACTATTGTGTGTGATTGAGACACAGCCCTTCAACACACTGCACACTGAAACTCGACACACGATTAGAGCCAGTACCTCACACGACCGGCCAGAACGTCAGAAGCCTCTGAAGTAAATTATGTGACATTTGATGAGCTCTTGGGGACACAAAAGAATATGTCTGTCAAGAAAAAAAAAAAAAAAAAAAAAAAAGGAAAAGACCAGAGCACAGTGAACAGTGAAGCACAGGAATCCGGGATCAGTCAAAGCCGTGTTCTCGAAGTTGATAAATGGGGTCGGAGCCAAGCTATCACACAGACACTGTCCATTCCCAAACCTGTGAGTTGTAATTTGTTCTAGAGATGAAGCCAAGGCGGTTTCAGCAGTTGGAGAAGAAGACAGGGGCAGGCAAATGACCACACGGGTACAGCTCAAAATCAGACATGAGAAGGGGGAAAGATTAAGAGACATTTGTATGTGACGGAGTATTTAAATTTCACAGCCATCCTCAGAAGTGGGCGGAGCGGCCAAGTGACAGTTGGGTGGGTTTCAAAAGCAAAACGACCCAGCACCTGGAGAAAAAAGGCTCAGTCAAAAATCCCCCTGAGGTGGGCATGGTACTTCCTAGAAGCTATTTGCGACCCGAGGAACAGTTCTTGAAAGTTGGATGCTACTCTCTCTATTGTAGTTTTCTTCTCTGGCTTGTCGGACCACAGAGCAACCAGTGTGCATCGGCTACCTGCAACTCTTGAGTTGTCTCCCTGGTGCTTGCTGTGTGCCAAGTTAGGCTCCCAAGGACCAATAAAGTCAGCCCATCTTCGGGTGGACCGACAATCTGTCTTAAAGGAGGGGCGCCAAACTTGACCTCCCAGTCCTCCCGGGGGACTGGTTTGGTTTAAGCTGCCTAACTTCTTTCCGTTGGTCTGCACCCACGCCTCGCCCACGAGTCCTCTCGATGACACTGCTCCCTCGCAATTCCAAACAGCTCGGAATGCGGCAGCATCCCAAGATGGGGGCGCGGGGTGGGGGGCTGGTGGAAGGGAAAGGCATGTTTTGGATTCTGTGCGCATCCTTTCCAAAAAACAAAACAAAACAAAACAAAACTTAAGGAAGTCCCAGAGCGCGTGCGAGCTCTGCCGCATCCACCCAACCCGAAGTCGCTCGCGCTCGCGAGTGACCCGCCTGGGTGGATCTGATTCTGCAGACAACTTTACCCACTCTGGAATTCTTGGTGAGGGGGGCGGGGGGAGTGACGGGGGCGTGGCCGGGCGTGGCCAGCGAGGGCGTGAGCCCCACCCCCGTGCCAGAGCGCAAGCGCGGGCTGCGGCGGGCCAAGATGGCGGCGGCGGCGGCGGCGGCGGCGGCGACCGAGCAGGTCTGTGAGCCCGCGGCGGCCGAGGGCTGCTGGGGAAGCGGGGTGACCGGGTCGACTCCACGGAGGGCGGGCACAAGGGCTAGGGGGCCGGCGGCGGCGGGGCGGGGCGGGGCGGGGCGGCAGGGCGGGGCGGCGGGAGCTGTCCGCCGCCGAGATGCTGGCGGAGGCCGGGCGGGGACCCCGGGCAGCGGCTCCGGGCCGGCGAGGGGAGCTGTCCCCTTCGGCGGGAGCGACTCGGGCCACCGGCCTGCGGAGCCTGCGCCTGGACGTGCCTCTCCGCGGCCAGAAACCACGCGGATAAAAATAACGTCAGCTGGACGTTACCAGCCAAGTCGTGGTCAGCTGTTGCCTGGAGTGGATCGTGGCCAGGTCTTTTTTTTTTTTTTTTTTTTTTCTGCCGTGCCCCCGTGTGCCCAGATTTCCCCGCCCACTTTGGTTACGCGGAGATTTAGACACCAATATAAAAGTGACTCGACTCGTGTCTAGAGGGTTTAAGGTTACTTCTAAGAAATGCATCATCGAACGTTTGCTGGTCTTCCTTGTAAGCCTAAGCAGTTGAAAGGCTTCCCCTCAGATATCAAGCTGTTCTTGACATGCATATACACACGTGTATGTGTGTGAAATGTGTGACTAACATCCCCGTGCATGTACTTGCCAACGTGACCTATTCTAATAAAAAACTGTTTTTAGTCACTTCTTTAATATTTCCTTTAAAAATAACCGGTAAGATGGTTTCTTTAGAAGCCCCATTCTTCACCATCATTGGGGTCGGGGGTGAGCGAAGTTGGCAATATTCAATTGACTTTAGGGGATATTTTCTCAGGTGGCTAACATTTTAGAGACAGACCTGTTAGGTCTATGTTCCTGGATGGCTCATTCTAAGGGATTACAAAAAGATATCTGCTACACAGACATCGGAAGTCAACTGTGACAACAGGCAAAGCCCAGACTCGCAACAAAATAAAAAGGAATAAGTGAAGCTGAAAGGAGACAAAGTGGGCCTGTTGGGACTGAAGCCGTTCCTTGGCTTTCCTACTTTACCTCTTAACTAAATCAGCCTCTGAGTTAGAGGAGGGGTTCTTCTGTGCATGGGTTTTGATGCTCTGAGGTTCCATTCTGACCACTAAAAGTCAGTCACCTGCTCACTTGGCTACCCTAACCAGAGCGGGACTAACTGAAGGGAGCTAAGGAAAAACACACTTTCGGCTTAATGACCTGGTTTCCTCAACCTTATATTTGAACAGGAAGAGTTGCTTTTGTGCTTGGGGTCCCACTAATTATGTAATCTCTTCTGTTTGGGAGTCATTGTCGGCCCCGCTGTGTCACAATCACTGGGTCCTAGCAGTTCTGCCTCTTAAGGCTTCTCCCCACAGCTTCATCTCCGAAGGAGCAATGTCCGTATCTCCCTCCCCCGCTCTTCTATTCCAGCTCTTCTCACTTGGGGCATAGTTTTGCTTCAGCGTAAATGTCTTCAGTAGGGGCGTCCTGGCAAGATGGCACAGTGGGTAAAGGTGCTGGACATACACAGCCTGGCAACTTCAGTTCCTTCAGTTCAGAACCCACCTGGTGAAATGAGAGGGCCGACTCCCAGAAGCTGTCCTCTGACCTCACACACACACACACACACACACACACACACACACACACGCACATACACACACACATGCACACTCACTAAACAGAAGAATAAAGAAGAGGACAAGGGGGAAGGTTAGAAGGAGATTTGGGGGAAGGAGGAGGAAGAGAAAGAGAAGGAAGATTAGGAAGAGGAAGGGGAGGAAGAGGAAGATGAGGCCCATTGCTACCAACAACACCACCGTACTTCCCCAGTGAACCCAGGATAAAGTTCATCTTCCATACAGTAGTGCTTTTATTGTTTGCCACATTTCCACTTCATTTTCCTTCGCCTTCTGTATATCTATCCCACCTTGGTTCGTTTCCTCATTACCTCAAACCTCCATTGCTACATTATCTACAGGAGCCTGCTTACATCTGTACCGAATTCGTATAACACTTAGCATGAAACACATGTCATTTGTACCCAGAAACGTCCACTGTCATCCAGTTAAACAGAATGTAAGACTAAAGCCTACACCCTACTAAGAACTATATTGACCTGGCTCTACTTTTCACCTTTCTGCTCCCCCCTTGCCAGCTATGGCCCTCCCGCTGCTCGCATTTTCTAATCTCCAGCGTGTCTCCCCTCTCCCATTTGACCTCTGCAGCATGTATTACCTAGACTACAGATCTGGGCACCCTGACATACACATCACATGGACTACATAACACACGACGGGGGTCCATAACCTGAAAAGTAGGATTAGGTCGTTCTTCCTTATGTTCCAACTTACTGTGACAGTGTTTAGGCATATAGCTCTTAGTACGTGCCTTCTACAGCAAGTGAACTGTCTCAGAGCTCTGGGAAAATAGTGAAATGTAGTCAGTAACCATTTCTGTTGGTCCTTTTATATTTGTAGTACATAAGATGATTGTTTCATGTCACCCATAATCAAGGTCAGAAGTTCTCAAGTTTTATTTATCCCAGATTCTATTTACACACTTAACTATCTGTTGTATTTACCATCTTAGAAATCAAAACTGAGAAATTGTAAAAAGATAGGAAAGCCTGAGCAAGCATTTCATTAACTCTTAGAATGATGATGTCATGATGTCATCATAAATGGTAACATGGCCTCTGAAAACAGCATTATTCATTCAAAAGAGTAAAAAAAAAATCTTATTGTTATTTTTACAATGTGTCCGACATTTCAGACCCTGAAGAGAGTTCAGTTGACATTCTCCTGAAACAAACAAACTCATGCAACTTCCCTGGGCACTTTGAAAATTACTGATCTAGAATAATATTTGTTTTAATCTGTAACTGTGATAATCATTCCAAATTCTTTCCATATACATAAAAAATGTATAAGTAAAGATTTAATATGTCATTGCTAAAAATGTTATCACCCACTGCAATATATATGTGCGCATGTGTGTTCACCAACTCTGCCCAGACATGAGCTGTACCCACATCAACAATAGGAGGGGCTGAAAGCGGAGAGAAGATGTGCTATATGACAGCAGCCCTGGCACCTGCAACTCAACATGGCTTGCACTTATTTGCAGAACATCTACCAACAACCAGTTCAGCTTTCTTTAATCATGGATTTGCATTTAATGGGTGCAGCAAAAGATAGCATAGCTGTTCCAACTTGTTTTTTTTTTTTTGTTTTTGTTTTAAGCAAAGTTCCAATGGGCCAGTGAAGAAATCCATGCGGGAGAAGGCTGTAGAGCGAAGGAACGTCAACAAAGAACACAATAGCAACTTTAAAGCTGGGTATATTCCTATTGATGAAGACCGTCTCCATAAGACTGGGTTGAGAGGGAGAAAGGGCAACTTGGCCATCTGCGTGATTATCCTCCTCTTTATCCTGGCCATCATCAACCTGCTGGTGAGCATGCGGGGCTGAGTATTTCCTGTTAAACTACCTTGGGGGATTTTTCCATCTTTTCAATGAGATCATGGATTTTGCTTATGTACTGTGTTCTCGGATAGTCTTGTCTTCTGCTTTTCTATACGTTTTACCTTCCATTGGACTTTTGTTAGTTCTTCAACATTAAAAAACCTAATAGGCTTCTCTTTCCAGCCTCACAAAAATACAGGAACAAAACTGAAGAAAGCCTGGGAAGATAATATACCTGTATAGTAATCTCATCTAGCAAACACTGATGATTGTCCCTTTAAAGGAGCTGTCTTCAATAAAGGGTCCGTAAGCTCAGTAGAGGAGAGCTTCACTGTGACTTTACTGCCCTTTCTCTCCCCCCCAAAAAATACAATTTCATTCAGTGTTTTCTACATGTTGTTTGTACAGCGTAAGTGCTCTGATGGCACTGAAAGTCTGTGTCTTATAGTCTCAGCCCCCAGTGTCAAGCTGAAGGCTGTGTCGGACTGCCAGGACTGTGAAGTGAGGCCCTGTCTCGGAAGGAAGAAGGAAGGAAGGAAGGAAGGAAGGAAGGAAGGAAGGAAGGAAGGAAGGAAGGAAGGAAGGAAGGAAGGAAGGAGGGAAAGAAAGAAAGAGAGAGAGAGAGAAAGAAAGAAAGAAAGAAAGAAAGAAAGAAAGAAAGAAAGAAGAAAGAAAGAGAAAGGAAGAAAGAAAAGGGAAGAAAGGAAAATAGAAAGAAAGATAGGAAGGAAAGGAAAATTCTCTAGAAAAAGTTGAAACCATTCTGGGTCCAGTGTGATATATTTTAAAAGAGAAGGCAGCAGAATAAGGGAGAGACAGACAGACAGATCACACTTAATTTTCTTAAATTTTACAGTGATCGTGTATAAATCAAGAAAAGATTCAGAACTTTTCTAAAGGGGTGAAAAATGTGTTGTGTAGGAAAAATGTAATCACAGAGTGACCCTGGACCTGTTGCAAGTATTAGAAACATCAAGACAATAAGGCCATTCCCTTCAGAGGTCATGTCTCAGAAACATGTGTCTAGACAGACTGTCCCACAAACATGAGGGATATAGAGACTGTCTAATCATACGCATGCACCGAACATGTTTGCTTCTAAGGGAGCCTCTGCCCTACCAAAAGAAAGGACTGAAGCTAGAACTACCAAGATGGGGATACAGGAAGCCAGGCATCTCGTGTGGGAGAAAACCTGAGAGGGAAGGAAAGTTCACAGGTCCATTGTGGGGGTGGCCCAGAGGCTGCCCAGTCCTGGATGGGGCAGGAAGACCAGGGCCAGGAAAATTAAACAGAAGAGAAAAACAGAGCTGACACTGTCTGAGCAGCTCGAGTTGCAGAACATTTATTTCCTGAGAGATATGCAGAAATATAGAACTGTTTGAGATTTAGTTCAATTATCAAATGAAAGAAAATATTGAACTATGAAGACATAAACATTTAAAAAAGAATTAATAGTGTTTGGTATGATGGCAAATAATACTTACATAGTCATAATCAGTAACTACTGAACACAGATTTAACCAAATCTGTTTGGAGTTGGAAGAGAAAAGACAAAACAGTGAGCTCAAATTCTTATCTGCTACAATAGGAAATAAGCAGATAGAACCTTCAATCAGTAAAGGAAGAAATACAATATACATTTCTTAGAAATAGGGAGATCGACTCCAGTGGAATTGCTAAAATTTCATCTAAAATTGCTGAACATGGTTGATTGTTCTTAGGGAGCAAGATGAGGCAAGAACAGGAAAAAGTAACACTTCCATTTATTATGGACCTTCTAGCACGTTTGGTTCTTGATTGTGTTTAGTACTTTAAGGTGTGTGTGTGTGTGTGTGTGTGTGTGTGTGTGTGTGTGTGTGTATTTCTCTAAGACCACCACCAATAGTGTGTTTATCTCACTGATTAAACATGTTAAGAGACTTTACACATTTGCACATGATCATCCCTGTTCGCCTCCATGTGTATGTAGTGTGTGCCCAGTAACAGCAGACATGTCTCTCTTTCAGATTACACTTGTCATCTGGGCTGTGATCCGCATTGGGCCAAATGGCTGTGACAGCATGGAGTTTCACGAGAGCGGTCTGCTGCGGTTCAAGCAAGTGTCTGACATGGGCGTCATCCATCCGCTTTACAAGAGCACGGTGGGAGGAAGGCGGAATGAAAACCTGGTCATCACTGGCAACAACCAGCCAGTAAGTTCCCATTCTTCAGGACGTGTGGATGGTAGAGGAGTGTGGACAACAAACCTACAGTTGAGTGCTAGAAATTGCCATCCTCTTTTTAAAAAATGAGCACTACATACACAAACGTATCCACATTCATAAATACTCAACAGTCAGTAATATTGTTGTCCTCATAATCTTACTAGAGTTAGGCCCTTCCTAGTCTAGACATTTTCCCTGTAGAAGCACTGGCTGACATTAAGGTTACATAGATCACTCTTTTCTCTTTCCCATGACAATGTCATTGTAAAGGCCCCTTTTTAGGTCAGAAAGCCCAGATTCCGGGAATCAGGAAGAGAAGTGCTTGCTCGGTGGCAGACAAGACCCGGTAGCTTTTAACTGAATGAAGCCTCAAGGATGTTTCCTACCTCCCTTCGTGGCCATCTCAGGCCCCAGCCACATTCCCTCTGACCTGTGTTGTTGGACAGTGGTTGTTGAACAAGCAGAGGAGTGTACAAACCTTCATTTTAAAGTTATGTTATCCAGGGCTGGAGAGATGGCTCAGAGGTTAGGAGCACTGTCTGCGCTTTCTGAGGTCCTGAGTTCAATTCCCAGCAACCACATGGTGGCTCACAACCATCTATAATGAGATCTGATGCCCTTTTCTGGGTTGCAGGCACTGTAAACGTAATAAATAAATAAATCCTTTAAAAAAATAAATAAAGTTATATTATCCAAAGTCTGATTGATGGCCAGGTACAGTTCAAAGAGTTTAAAATTTGGCTCTTACTGCCATTTTAGCTTTTTATCCTTACTATGTCCTAGTGTTCTTAAAAATAATAGTCCTTATGAATTTCTTGTAGCATTCTGTGAAAACATACTCATAATAAAGCATTTTTTTTAGATTGTTTTTCAGCAAGGGACAACCAAGCTGAGTGTAGAAAAGAACAAAACCTCCATCACCAGTGACATTGGGATGCAATTTTTTGACCCAAGGACACAAAATGTCTTATTCAGCACAGACTATGAGACTCATGAGTTTCATCTGCCAAGTGGAGTGAAAAGTTTGAATGTTCAGAAAGCATCAACTGAAAGGGTATGAGTCATTCCTTCAGCATCCTTAACAGGGAATTTGTGAGCAGCTACTCCCTGGGAGGAGGGGTGGATTTGGGCCCCCTGAAAACATGACCTCCAGACCATCAGAAGGCTGCTTCTTGCCTTGACCTTATGCATGCTCACACGTTAAAAGCCTTCTCTTTATAAAACTGCCCTTTATAGTCCAGAGTTGAAACTTTCACTTCTCTGCGGATTCTCTCATTAACCAACAAACTCTTTTCAGCGTGTGCTTTCATTTTTAGATTACCAGCAATGCTACCAGTGACTTAAATATCAAAGTGGATGGGCGTGCAATTGTGCGTGGCAATGAAGGCGTGTTCATCATGGGCAAAACCATTGAATTTCACATGGGTGGTAACGTGGAGTTAAAGGCTGTGAGTATTCTTTTCTGTATGAATTTAAGAAATTACTTTGGCATAGAATATAATTACATGTGAAATAATATGTAATTATTGAAAATGACTTGTCAAGATTAGATGATCCAAGTGGATAGTGAAATGAAAGAAAGTTATACAATAATGTGTAAAAATATCTCATTTCCTTCAGAACACTTATAAAATATCATTTCTTTCAGAAAAGCTTATAAAATCTGGAAGGATATAGTAAAAGTTTAACAATATTTAGCTAAAAGTGATAGAAAAATGGGTGATTTGATTTTTACTTCTGCTTGTTTATGTGTTCTATGTTGTTTTAAAAGGAGACAAAATAAAACCCAAACAGACCCTCCCAGAGTTTTAGGAGATGAAAGCATTTGTCCCCAGAAGTAGCTGGTATTGGTGAAGTTAAGTCATTACTATTTGTTTCTGAGTTTTGTGTCCAAGGCTATGAGGAGAACAGTAAGTGAATGGGGACACGTGTTTTCATCTGACACCTGTGAGCTGCAAAAGAGAAAGAGTCAGTCTTCACCGTGACATTTGCCTCATCTTCACAGATTTTATCTGAGCTTCAGTCTCCTACTTCACACTGAGGGGCCATAGCCTGCACCCATCTTACTAGCTCGAAGTTCCAGCCAGAATCGGGTGCTCCCATGTGCCTCTGGGCACTTGGCCCATGCTGCGTGCCTAGGGCTAAGAAAATTTGTATAACCAGGCACCACATGACAAAAGCAGCCTTAAGTGTGAGCACTTAGAGGTCATTCTCCCCTTTAAGAAAAATCAGCTTTATAGTTCTTAGAAATAATAAACTTTAGAAAGAAAAGTAGTTGTTTCACTTTGACAGATGCTTAATCCCATCTCCAGATGATAAAGATGAACATGAGCTATAGCTCTTGCCAAAGGCATCACAGCTACCCTGAGGAGTTTCCCCCTGTACTATGACAGGGATTCTCAGAGCAATGACAAGCAGCCACTACTAAAGATTGCAATTGGCATGAAAGATCAGAGGAAGGAGGTCCAAGCCCTTTGGGTAGAAAACATGTGTAAGTTACCTGAACTTTTCATTCTGCCCACCAGAAAATTCTAGTCCCATTCTGCCTTGTCAATGGGACAAATCTTAAAATACTCTGAGATAGATACATACTAGTTTTTAGTATTGAAAAGATACTTAGCTTTGTACATCAGATATCAGTAGTTTGATTCCGAGCATAAGCTAATAATTAGCAATAATTTTATCAAACTACTTTTTAAATTTTATGTATAATTGACATGTGATACTCATGTGTATAGGGCACAGCGTAAGCTTTGACATATGTGCACATGATCAGATTTGAGCCATCAGCACGTTATCTCAGGCCTTTACCTCAGGCTCTCAGGTAAGGGACATTCAAAATTACCTCTCCTATCTATTTCTAAACAAGCAAATTCTGTTAACTTCAGTCAACCGATGCTACAATGTATTGAACACTTTTTAAGAAATATGTTCAAGAAAGTAAAATCAAATGACCACAAGATGGCAGCATAGAAACAAAATTTGAAACCAATCCCTTACCACTGCATTTCTTACATGCAACTTGTATTTCCAAGTAATGTTGAGTGCTTTATTCTGAAAATTGGGTTGTTTGCCAGGAAAATCTACGTAGAGATTCCAAAATAAATCAAATAAGCTCAGAAATATGAAGTGGTTCTGTTCCAAGCTTTTCAGAACCTGTTGAGCCTGTACATGGCAGCAGCCATTTCTGGCACTTCACAGCGAGCTTCCATGGCTTTGAGCCCCTCCCTAAAGTGGTGCTCCCCATGCTCACAGCCTCTGCATGGGCCGTTCCTGTTAATTAGGAATCCCTAATCCAGCTGCCTGCTTCCCTTCCCCACCTCCACACCCACAGGCACCTGACGTCCAACAAGTATAAAATCTTGACGCCCTGTCTCCTCAACAAACACGCATTTCTGTCGGAGCTCTGCCCAACACCCACTGACAAAGCTCCGCTCCCCCTGCGGGGCCTGGCTGCTTCTCACCACCTTGGTGTGCGTGCTGAGACTGGGACTGCCTGGATTGCTGCAGCAGCCTAGTGCCTACCCCCACTTTGCTGTTTATCCATTAGAGATGAGCCGCTTCTCTACCCACAAGCCAGTAGCCAGTGACATTTTTTACAAGACAGGGTCTCACCAGTACCCCAGGCTAGCCCGGACTGAAATCCTCCCGCTCCTCCAGTGCTGGGTCAGAATGCTGGGGTGTAGATTCATGTCACAGCACCTGCCTCAGAGGGACCTTTTAAAGAAGATCCTACCACTCACCACTCCATGTGCTTCCCTTCTAATTTCAGATAAAACCCTAACCCTGTTCCCCAGTCTTACAGGCCTGTCCCTCATTATTTCTTTGTCTCACATCCTACTGGTACCCCCTTCCCTTGGCCTCCGGGCTTCTACCCTGCACTCCTTCTATAAGGCTTCACCGAGGGCCCTTTCAGTCAGTGTCCTCCACCTGGGTACCCTTCCCTGGTGACCTGCATGCCCCACTCCCTCCCTCCATTTCGGTTGGAATGCAGCGTCTTCAGGGAGACTTTCTCTGGCCACCTTGCGTAAAATACAGTCCTCAACCACATACCTGCTGCTTCCCTGCTTGTCTTCCCTTGTAGCATTCACCCCTCCCATGCCCTATAGACTCTCCTGTTTGCTGGTTTAGCATCTGCCTCACTCCACTAAATGGCACTATAGAGGAATGTGCCCATTGCCCATTTGTTCACAGTCATATCCCCAGCACCTAGAATGGTGTCTGGCATGGGACAGTCTTTAGTAATTATTTGTTAAATAGGAAGGAAGGAGAGACAGGAGGAGGGAGAGAAGCAGAAACTTACTGGTCCCTTGGGAGGTCAAGATGGCTTAGTTGGAGAAAGGCTTCCAAACAAGCGTGAGGACCTGAGTTCAGAACCCTCGCACCTACATAAAGAGCCAGGCTTGGCAGTGGCACCTGCCTATAATCCTGGTACTGAGAATGTAGAGGCAGGTGGATCAGACAGCTCATGTTCTGAGCTCCAGATTAAGTAAGAGAGAGAGAGAGAGCTCTCCACAAAAGCTATGAGAGAGAGCTGTTGACAAGGACACACGTTTGACCTCAAGCTCTGCATGTGCATAGGCGTTCTTGCTCTCATACATACTCAGGGTCTTAAGGGCCTACAATATGAGAATGAATCTGTAGCTATGACTTTAAATAAGAAACCCTCAGTATCTTTGAAAGCCTGGTCTAACAAAATATATAGTTTTAATATTTAATTGAATTTCTATTAATTAAAATTAATTTCGTGTAAGAGAAAAATACTTGTCTTTTTTCCCTCAATAACAACATCAATCAGTAACCAAAATTCTCTGGAGCCAAAGAGTGAAAATCATCCAAGACTTTGTCACCATCAGCCACACTGTGCGCAGGATGTGGTTTTGACTAATGGCTGCAAGCTCTGTTGCAGGCTTGTTGATGCACAGTGGAAGCTGACTAATGGAAGAGTTGCCTTTGGAATCCTGCGTGTGCTTTGGTTTTGCTGTGGCCACAGTTGTTTTACTGGCGACCTCACTCTCTCACTGCCGCCACTTTCTCTTTATATTTCATCAGACTCGTCTGGTTTTATAACTTTCTTCTGTGCCTGTTTGCGGTGGTAATGTAACCCTATTCTTGTCCTCACAGGAAAACAGCATCATCCTTAATGGCACCGTGATGGTCAGCCCAACACGCCTGCCCAGTTCCTCCAGCGGCGACCAGTCAGGGAGTGGTGACTGGGTACGCTACAAGCTCTGCATGTGTGCAGACGGCACGCTCTTCAAAGTGCAAGTAACAGGCCACAACATGGGCTGCCAGGTCGCAGACAACCCTTGTGGAAACACTCACTAGAAGGTCCATCCTCAGGGCTCGGTATGTTCAGATCTCAGCTGGACCCTTCCTTTGTAAGAATGCATGTGAACCATGTTTTTACAGGGTTTGCCATAACTTGTAATTCTTTTATCTGGAGAGTACCACTGTCTCGATTACATACTTTCCATACTTAAGGGGTTTTTGAGTGCCTAAATCCTAATGTTTTATTAAGTTGCACTGATACTCAAGTGACAGTCCTCTAAAATGATTAAGAGAAGTTAATAAAGTCAAAACTATTTGAAGTGTTTTTAACATTCTACTGTCTCTTGTCTAAAGGACGAGGGCTGAAGCAGTTAGGCCTCACCGTAAGCGTTGGCCGTTTCTAATGGGGAGAGATCCTCTAGAGATGTTTGGAGGCACAGCATCGCTGCCTGTGCTCTGTCTTTTCAAGGGGAAGGCACAGATTTTTAATGCATTAACCCAAAGCCACATTTTCACAAACAAGTCATTAAAAACTTTCCATCTACGAGCTTATAAGAAACTATGTTTCCTTAGTTTTGCACTAAAGAAAATACTCTCTCATGGTATGTTTACTTGAAATAATAATATGTATAGGTATTTGCAGTGTGTAGACCTTAAAACATAATCACAGCACTTATGGTTAGCAGTAACAGGAGCTGTCATCTTGCCATGCTGTCCTGGGCACTTTATGCTGATCTCTGTAACTCCAAGTGCATCTCTTTAAGTAAGGGCTTCGCTCCCAGCCTCACCCATGAGGAAACCAAAGGACAGAGAAACCAAGGAAGCTGCTCCATCCGCAAAGTGAAGGATGGACTCTGAGTTGGAAGTCGTGCATGTGTCCAACCCAGGTCAACCCGATTCCAAGTGTGTTTCTGCCTTTTTTATTATCTACACTGAATTTTCAACCACTTAAAACTCTCAACGGATGGAAAAAGCCTAATTGTACTTTACCTAATAGGTAAAAATCAAGCATGTGTGCTACTCTAATTAAAATACTAATCTGTTAGCAAAACATGACCAATCACTGTCAGTTCTCAAACTGTCTTGAACTAGTTCCAAGCTGTCATTCACTAGACAAATCTGCTTGGTCTGCTTGTCACACGGGAGCATCCGAATGAGTTATAGAGAGGCTGGAATACTTTTCCCTAAGCTCTGTGAAGTTCAGTGAAAAGTGGGAGGGTCGGCCTCAATAGGCCCTGCCACCCCTATGTGTTTCCTCCAGCGCCCCGCACCAGCAGCACCCTTTGCAAGTGTCCTGTGCCTAGAAACTAGCGTACACTGGAATAAAGAGTGCTAATGCAGGGCATGATGCAGGTCATTTTAGCTAGGTATAAAACTTTTATCTCTGCCCCCTCATCTCACTGTCTCATTTTAATTATTTACAGCTGATTCTTAGCATATTTTATACTTGATTTGAAAGGAGTTTCCTGGCATTGCTAAAACACACAAGATCAGAGACCCACAATACATAGCTCTAAAGTAGACAGTCGGGAGATATCGTGGGTCTAGCTACACAGAAGCACATTTGTATTCTGCCATGGTCACTTAGAAATGTGTGCATAAGAAAATCAATGTATAAAGCAATTTGTGTTCAGTATTGTCACAATTCTGTTAAAGGGAAAACTAAATACTGTATAGATTGTACACTAAGTTAAGAATTAACTTGAGACCTGAAACTGAGTGCAGATTTTAGATGTAAAGAAAGTGATTTATACCTTATATATTCAAGTATCATTTAATAACTAAATAGTGCTCAGAAAAAAAAAATCAAGTTTGGAATTCTCATTTCCACATCTGTGTATTTTTAAATTGTACACTGTTACATGTTTTATTTAAACTTGTTTTGAGAATTTCTTTAAATAAATATTTTTACTAATCCACAGAACACTATATTACAAAGTATTATTTCCTAAATGCAATTCATGAAAAAAATGTATTTTTACATTTTCTTGGGAAGCACTTGTGTTTGATACATCTCCACCGAGCGCTTTGATGCTTTGTGAAACTGGTGGTTACCAGGTGCGGCATGTTAGAGCGCCCAGCAAGCAAACCCACTGACACACTGACCTGGAAGCTGTGCCGAGAAGCGGAGCCTGGTGCACAGTGAAGCCGCACTGCTCACGAAGGCCGCCAGGGGGCGAACCCCTGCTCCTGTGTTCATTCCTGTTTTGAATGTACCATACTGAGAGGACTTAGAGCAGCGCGGGGGAACAGACCCAGGGAGGAAAACAGAGGCACATTTATTTAAGCAGAGACAGTATTCTAGAGGTGGACACCAGTGCAAAGAGACAGAAGAAATAAACATAAGATTCCTCAGAGACAAGGCAGCAGGGAAAATGCACCATCTGAAGCAGGAGCTGGTCGCTGTTACATGCAGTCTTTCAAAACATGCTTAATTGGCAATCTTTTTGCATTGTGACAGAAGTAAAGTAAACTTTGTGTGGTGGTTTTGATGATGGAAGGTAGAATTTCTGCGTGGTTTTTATGACTTTTTTAAGGGGGGTTAGAATTACTGTGGTAAACTTGAAGAGGAGACCATTGAAGTGTTGTTCATTCTAATCTTCGGAGTGATGTTCAATGGGGGCAAAGGTTATAAGTTGTGCCACACAAAAATGAACCTATAATGTGTTTCAGATTGATGACCTCTGTTTACAATAAAATTCTGTGAGCTCTGCTGTCAGTCTCTTGATGACTCTGTTAATGAGCTTCTTCTATGTTAGCACAAGCACACAGATTCTAAATACAGCTGGAGCCTGGGGGCATCAGACCTGTGGGTATGAGAGGAGGAGAAGTAGAAAGCTGCGCTTTCCCAGGTTAGATAGTCTCTCCTTCTGTGCCTTACAAAAGCTTCTCCCCAATGGCCCGGGGAAGAGTGTGCACTCACTAAGGAAGGAGCCAGGAGATGAAAGGGTGGGGGCTGGCTGCAGAGCTGGGTAGGAGGGGCGGAGCCTCAAGGGCACAGACCTCAAGTCCCCACATAGCTGGATCAGCTGGAGACAGACCAGCTGGGAACTACCCAAGGACCCTAAGGTAGGCCTCAGGAGCAGTCCTGTCCTCTCCAGTACTTACTGGAAGAGCCTCACTGGTTTTGTTCCCTTTTTCCTACTTCTTATGGAAGAATTAATCATCTTTTTTTCTACTTCAGTTTTTCCTATTACCATCTCTGTCTCGCTGTGATATCCTCACGTCCCCAGTTATTTCTGAGTGCTTCCTCACACTTCAATTTGAATAAATCTAGTGAAAGGCTTACGTTTTGCTCAATTATTTGTACTTTCCTCTGGAGTTCTCTGGTTTGTTTTTGTTTTTGTGAGGGTTTTGGGGGTGGGGAGTGTCACACAGACATTTGTAATCTAAATAATGTTTCTTAACATTAATACTTTTAATTTTAGATATAAAATTATCCTAATCTTCCTGTTTGCATGCAAATCTATTCATATACCAATGTCTTCACTTTGAAAAGGGCCAGACTATAAAAATATTTCATTTATATCACTTTTTTAGAATGTATTTTTCTACCACATTTTTTTCTTCACTGTTACAAAGGAATGTACATATTTATGATTGCTGTATTTTTTTTGTTACTATTACATTAGCTTGGCATCCAGTTGTATGTACAGTGATTGCAGCTTTAGTGTCAAAACAAATATCTCTCTGACTAGGAAAACGAATTCAGTTTCTGGTATTCCGTAAGGGACATATTATAAATTACTCCTTGCTGTAGGTAGGGCACCTTTGCAGTTTACGTACCTAAATTTAAATGCCCTCTGAGATATGGGAGAATTGACCTTGCATAAAGCAAAAGTTTAGAAGTTGCTGTGCAAATGGCCTTCATTCTGTGCGCTCATTCGTGCAGAAAGCATAGCCCAGTGACAGACTCCAGAGCGTTAAGACTGAGACATGGGAGAGGGGAGATACTTGCCCCCTGTTTTGCTCTGTGTTTGGAATACCCAAAGCAGGGCACTAACAGTGTGTGACGGCATTGACATTCCGTCAAACTGAATGGTACTAAATCCATCCATTCACTGTTTACGGAAAGCATTGTGAAAGCGAAGACAAAGTATTGGCTAATATAAGAAAGGAAGAGAGGTTCAGACTGTAGGAATTGAGATGAGGCTTGATGAATGTGCAAGATTCAGACTGAAGAGGGGGAAGGCACTGATCGTGCTGAGGAAAAGCTCATTGTACCATGAGATAGACATACACAGCCCTTGCCCAGTTAACCCACTTGAATTTACCAAACGTAGCTCATCAGGCTAGCTACATTATAGGAAGTTTTAAATGCAATCTTGGGAATTTGCACTGGACAATTAAAGGAACACTTCAAAACTACAAAGGAGGAAAATGCATAAGAGAAATGACAATGGAGCTAGGAGGAGAGGGGAAGCAAGGGCAGGAAGCTCAGGAAAGCTATTCTAGTACTTCAGCTTTAACAGTAACTCAGATAGGTGGCTTGAGGCCAGGAAGTAATGGGTGACTTGAGGCTGAGAAAGCTTGTCATTTGTACTCTGCTTTTGTCTTCACAGAGTTTAGCATAAAGCAAATCTCAAGAATCCATTTTCCCACCTGTTATAGCTGCTTTCCTGTGTGCATGCAGCCTTTGTAACTTGAACACCTTTGTTTCAAAACCTACATTTGCTCAAGAATGAGGTGAAAATGACTTGGGGTTTCTGTATTCTATGGCATCTTCATAGCTTGAGGGCAAACGTCCTTCTCATGATCATTTTTATTTATTTTGAGCATAGTTAAAAGCTTTCAAAATTATGTGAAAAGTAGCATATGCCATGCAGATCTAAAAAAAAAAAAAAAAAAAAAAAGCCATGTAGATAAAGCTTATGGTTCTAGTCAAGTTTATGTCTGTTCTGTGAATTGTACTTTCTATTCATATTAGAGGTTCACAATTTAATTTGAGTGTCATAAACTACATGGCAAGGTTCTAGATAAGCATAGCAGACTTTGCCCCATGCTGGTGTCTGGCGACGGCAGCAGAGAAAAAGGGCTTTTACGTAAGTAAGTTGGACTCACTAGAAAGCAGACCGCAGGCTGGAAGGTACTGGAGATCAGAGGTGAGGCTCTGTGTAAATGTGTATTTTCTACAAAATGTACATACATGCTGTTTTAATCTACAGTTACAACTTTTGGGTAGCTACCTTAGAAACCCAGTTTCTAAGAAGCCAAATGTTCATGTCAGTTGATAATTAAAGATGTGTTCTAACTCTTAAATTGGAAATGAAATTTCCTGCTTTTTATTTGCTGTTTGCTTTTGCGTTGTCATTTTGAACAAGTCGATTTGTTTACCTTTTCCAGGCATTATGAAAGACCTCTACGTCAGAGTTACTACCATAGTTATAGTTGTAAGTCTTTGCTTTACAAGAACAGCGACAAACCCATCAAGAAAAAGCAGTATTGCTCTCAATTCCGAGTACCAGTGGGATGGGTATCTCCTGGCAAACTGTTGGCCTTCTCCAAGACACTCCTCACAGAGAGCAGACACCATGGAGGTGAGCCTCCATTTCCTTCAAGCCCTCTCCCAGTCTTACACAAAAGGAGAGTGGCAAATAAGACATCTGGACCTCAGGAACCACCGCATATCAAAAACGACCCTCAGGCCTTGGGCACATGTACATGCTCTGGAGACGCTTAAGCTCAGCGACAACACCATCCGCTGCCTCTTGCTGGGTCTGCCCCCGCCCCGCTCCTCCCAGCAAAAGCGCCCCAGAAGCAGCTCCCACCGCGGATGCCCCCGGGGAAAGGTGCTGATTCTTCAAAGAAATCCACTCAGTGCTACTCCTAAAGGTGAGCACTTTTAAAGAACGGGGGAGACAGAGAAACAGGGTGTGGGGAACTGGTGTCTTATGTCAACAAGAGTTCTGTGCTCCTGTTCAGTTTCAAGGGAGAGGCTGAAAAAGCAAAGCGGTTTGACCGAGCAAACACAGAAAAGGCGGTTCCAGGTGGCATTGCCTGACAGAGCAGAATTTGCACTTAGGGCAGCGTAACGTCCCTCTTTTTCCGTTCACATTAATATTGTATGAGTTTGTCAAGAAACGCCAGGACTTATCTAGGTGCTAGATAATAATCTGATATATTTAGGTTTTTTTGAATTGTTTGTTTGTTTGGTTGGTTGGTTCTTTGGTTGTTTGGTTTATGTTTTGTGTTTTGAGATAGGGTCTCACTTTGTAGCCCAGGCTGGCCTGGAACTCTTTATGTAAACTGGGCTACTCTCAAAGATCTGTCTGCCTCTGCCTCCCAAGTGCTGGGATTAAACATGAGTGCCACCACGCCTGGCTAAGCTATCTCTTTTGTTATATATATTTTTTAATATGGGAAAGCACTGAGAAATAATGGATACAGATATTTTAAATATATAACATAATTTAAATTAAGTATGTTACTGTAGTTATAATTTTTTTTTCTTCTTGGAACACATTTTGCCTTTTTAGTTGTCCCCAAAATGTAGATCAGGAGTATCCCTACATTATATATTCTGTATGTAAGACTTCCTACTATGAAACCAAAAATCCGAATTCCTTGCTGCAGCGGGGCCCACCTTCAGTTTTCTGGACCAGCGGAGTTTCTGACTCTGAGCCCCAAGAAGGGTGTTTGCATGCGGTGCATACAACGTTCTTATACTAGCCCTCCTTCTCCCCGTTCTCCTTGTTCCCCAGCTGGAGTGTCAGAGCAGCAGGGTGTGTGTACTCGGCCCTCACCCTCTGCTACTCAGAATATCTCTTCCCAGTCCTTCAGTTTGGGTCCCTCTGTGGGTCTTCAAAGAAGTGAGGAGAAATCTGACTCTCCCCCCTGAGGACAGATGTGTTCTCCAGAGGGCTGATTCCAGTGTAATTTCACTCCAGGGCCAAAGGCCCAAAATGGAGACAGGCTTCTTTCTGAGGTTAAACTTCTGCCTTCGAGAATGTAAGGAGGGAAATGGTAACGTTGCAGAGGAAACCACAGAAAACAAAATGAGCCAGGCCTGCATCTGGAATTCTGTTAGAACTCTGGCAAATGATGCCATCCAAAGAGGAAGGGAGTGGACAGCGAAAGTTCAGGTAACGTGTAGATCTGATTTGATATCGCAGTCATTTTGTCCAGTTTGTGGTGTTGTCGTGTGTGTGATCTGAGCTCACTGTTTACAGTCAACATACATTTAAAGTTTGCCCCAGTTTGGATGCCCTACAATACTCCCTTGCCATTCTGTGATTCTAGCTATGGCTGAGGACACAACCTTGAACTCCTTTTGGGAAGGAAGGAGTTGGTGAGAGTTGCTGCCTGGGACATGCCCCAACTTCTGACCTGTCCTTCCCTCTTTGACTCTTCTGCTCAAGTCTGTCTAAGGATACTGTCTAGGTGATGCAGGCGCTCCCTGACCTATACCCATAAACCCATCACAGGTCACATACCATAAGTCAGAAGTGCATTTAAATACGCCTGCTGGAGTTTCAGTATTAAATGATTCCCTGGCAAAGGCTCATGCATTTGAACACATCAGCCCTTAGCTGATGTCACTGCTTGGGGAAGTTCCAGGAACTTTAGAAGAAGAAAACATCTTACTGGAGGATGCACGGCACTGGGGGCAGATGCTGGCCCCCTTGCCGTCCTCTCTCTGTTTCTAAGCTTGGATTCAATGAAATCTGCCAGCTGCCTGCTCCTGTACCACGCCTTCCCAGCCACAATGGAACTGCGAGCCAAACTCATTTTATCCGAAGATATTTTATCACAACAGAAGAGAAACTAAACCCAGCACCTGATCTGCTAGGCTCAGCCCACCCCCACACAGACATTCTCAGAACACATTAGCTGGCAGCTAGAAGAAAACCATGGAACACAAAGTCCGTTTTCTGATAAAATGTTGGGTAGGTGTGAGCCAGTTGTTGTGTGAGCACTGTTTCATACCACTGTGAAGAAAAAAACAAAGTAACTCACTCCATCCTAAATCAAAGACTCCATGTGCTTTATTCCAATTGTGAGGCTTCAATGGGAAAAGATCCCTCGTGTCACTGCATTGCAGTAAGTCAGGCAAGGTACGTGGTGGCAATTCAAAGACGTAAAGGTAGTCTGGAAGCCTGGGAGTGATTTGCAAATATTAGTTTTCATTGCTCTCTTGGACCACATTGAGAACAACAGTATACTTAGAAACAAATGATTAATTTGCTTCCCTCTAAATCTCAAGCTGTCTTTTAAAATGTTAAATGGTTATTGCCATGGATGGGATCCATAACCCAGCATAAATCATGAGCAGAGTCGTGCGTGTCTACTTAGACCTGCTTCACTCCTCTGGAACAATAATAAACTAGAAACACCCCAGAAGGCAGCTAGCCATTCAGCACACCCAGCTTCACAACTCACGACTGTGTCTTTAAACACTGGCCGTTCATATGACGCCCGAAGAAGCCTATTTTTATAAAAGTGAAATGTCACATTGACAAATCCACTGTCAGGAAATCTCATGTGTTGAGTCAGCGGTGACGTCGCCAATAAGCTTTGTGTTGAGGAAATGCCCTTGTTGGGTGCTGGTCAAGACAAACAAGAAGCAGGATGTGAATCTCACCTTAATGACAGCTCCGCCTCCCACCCATAACTTTGGAATATTAGTAGCTTTAAATCAGAATATACATACATACATATATACATGTATATATGTGTACATACATATATACATACATATATATACATGCATATATACATATATATGTGTGTGTGTATATATATATATAAAACTGCGACATAGTACCTGAGATGAACAGCTTAAAAAGAGGAAAGCATTCTGTCATAGTTTCAGTCTGTGGCAGTTGTCTCTTGCTCTGGGGCCTGTTTTGAGCTGTACGTCATGACAGGAGCATGTGATAGAAGACACATCTAACCTCATGGTATCGGGCAGTGAGAGAGCAAGAATTCCCAGTCCAACAGTCCCTGTCAGGGCATTCCCAGTGGCCTCAGACCTCCTGGTGGGCACCATCTCTTCAGGGTCTCACTGCTCCAAACTGGGGACTAAGCCTTGTAACACATGTCATCTTGGGGACACATACCCAGGCCACAGCGATCAGTACTTTAGACGTCTAAAGCAATGGGATCACCTCTAAGTCCTTCATCAGGCGGTAGTTCAGTATTTCACAGAGAACCTGGAAATGTCCTGGGACAAACGCCTTGCTGTGCTTCTGCTCAGGTAGACAAGTCAGACTGGTACCCTCACATGAACCCACCAAGTTTCAGAAACCAGAGGGATGCGTTAGAGACGAGGTCATATGGTACCTGACATTCGAAATGAACAGAATTGAGAAAGAAAGAAAATCCAGTGTCTTATTAAACAAAGTTTTTTTTTTTTAATTCTTTTACCTACAGGGATTGCCGTTGGATTATAGAAATACAAATAACCACTGTTCTCAAAATCAATTCATTTTAGAAAATGAATTGAAATAAAATAGATGACATTAACTTAAGAGCCAAGACTTTAAGTCACACGCCTTGATCCCAATAAGGGATAGCATTTTGAATAAAATGTCTCACCCTGGACCATTTTTTGGGGGGGAGAGAAGGGGTTCAAGACAGGGTTTCTCTGTGCAGCCTTGGCTGTCCTGGATTCACTCTGTAGACCAGGCTGGCCTCAAACTTACAGAAAACCATCTGCATCTGCCTCACTGAGTGCTGGGATTATAGGCATTCACCACTGTTCCCAGCTACTACTCCAATTCTTAATACTCAGAACTTGAAGCCATAACTCCAGAATGACCTTGTGCTATGTTATCTGATGATCACCGTTGGGAAGGCATACAGAAGTTCATAGTTCAAAGACAGTGTTTACTAAGGTGGTGGCTGGGTGGACTATCTCTGCCCTTTTTACTTACTGACCCCAATATGATAATTTCTGGGAAATAATAAGACTGGCTCTGACCTTTAAAATATTGGATAATTAAATTCCCTTCATAGCCTGTGTGAGCCTGAGAATGAAGTTCCATAGTTAATTCTATTTCCACGAAGTCACTGCAGAATTTTCCTTTCAGCACTGGATTCTCCTCTTTTGAAACATAGAGTTTAACGCTGTGGGATACCCCAGGGCCAACCAGAACAGCACAACTTAGGTCTGCTTGGCTACCCATCATCAGTGGCTCAAATAAAAAACACATTTCCCCCATTTAGAAGTGTAGCCTGGAAACATCAATGGGCCACTCAAATCCCCTAACTCCATCTTGGGAGACCTTAAGTAGTCATGGTCATTTGTAAAGATCATACCAGGACCCTGGTAAAACAAAATTTTAGTCGTCTAAAGTTGGAAGAAGTTCATGCTACTAAGTTCCATATATAGAAAAAAAGTTTACCCTTCTTGGAAAATCTTGTGTTGGCTTGAGGGAAGTTGATAAAATGTCTTACATTACTCTGTTTCCCTTAAACAACTCACTTAACATTAAGAAAGTCCTATCTCCAAGAATAATGAGTATACAGGATCAGCAAAGCTCATAGACACCGTGTAAAGGCCAGAATACACAGTGATGTCATAGAAAGTCCCTCAGCACTGTTAGTTCCCTTTGGTGCTGTTGGAGCAACCTGCAACTCTTACTGTGGTGCCCACCCCATTCTTTTTCTTCATTGTCACTTCTCTGATTTCACATACAGTAGAATAAAAGTTACTCTGATTGTCTGCAAATGTTTAGAGTCTGTATGACAGCATTTGTCAACTGGAATGCTGCCATGTTCACATTTGTGCGGGTCTTTAGAGGCTCCTGCTCTTCCCTGTTCTCAGCAATCTTGGACCTGTACTCAGATCCCGTGAAGCAAGCCATCACCAATATCCGAGATATGATGTA